TTTATACGGAAAAAATTTTGACAGTCCCTTGGCAGTTCGTTATATTGAGGTTCCACTGTAGTCATTGCAGAATGTTCTAGCGCGTTTACATCTCCACTTACGAGTAAGTACAATGCCTTATAATAGTCGCAAACTAACACTGAAACAACGACAAATATTTCTAAAAAAGTTACCAATGTCTTTTCCTTCTTCAGCAGCTTCACATAACACATCTCTCAAGCAAGCAACATCGCCAAACCCGAGATTAACACCCTGTCCTGCTAAAGGGTGCACTCTGTGGGCTGCGTCACTTTTAACAAAAGTAACAAAATTTTACTCAATATACTCAATATGTGCGAACATAATATTTTTAAAGCTTTAGTTTCAGCAAAACAAATCATTTTCAGGGGTCAATCCTTCCCTTAATTCTTAAGGACAGAATTTACCGTGCGCAAAGTGCAAGGAGATCATTGTCCTTATACTCCAGCAAACAGTGTGCTTATAAGTATCACCCCTCTCTACAATTCTCTGGGATATTTTATAGTAGTCTCAAAACGTTTTGTTGGGATATATCAATCTCCCCCTTTTCTGCATTTCCCTGGGATTTTTTTGCAAAACGTTGGGTCTGCTTAAACTGCGAGTATTTTTTCTCTTTCCGCACCAATCTATCCTCCTTTTTCATAATTCTAAATTTTCACACGCCGCAACTGGCTCTGAAAAAAGAAGGACGACCACTCACAGTCTATCACTCCCTTAGAGTACTCCAACCTGCACATGTGTTTATCACTGGATACTCTAGGTAGTCTCTTATTTTTCTTGAAAGTGAGTGGGATGGTAGGTGCGCAGGCATGGTGGCACTCATGAGATGCAAGACGTGGCAACCCAAGAAGAAAAATAACAGATTACTCCCAAAGACAGTGGAAATGAATTCTGTGCTACATTTGTAGCATACCAATGTGATTTGCTATGCTTGAAGAGTTAAGAGACAACTGTCAACAACCTCCCGTCTATCGCCTCCAGTTGCTCGTGTGGCTATTTTCTACTCTCACTGAAGGTAGAAAATGGCCACTCGCCTGACTGGAGGCACGGTGCATCTTTTGCTCAACGGGCTAAGAAAACAGAGACCGCCTGTGGTTTAGTACCACTGTGACAGCTTTGCTTTGAGGAAGTACAATAGTTTGCGACAGAGTAAACAAAGGTATTTGAGCATGTTGGGGTTTATAAACCTGAGATTAATCAGTGGCAAGGAGTGATACTTGAAAAGCAAGAAATTGACTTCAAGGAAGTCCCTGCCTAGCTTGGAAATTGTCCACTTTTAAAAAGTAAACCAAACCAGAGTTTATAGATCTTGCAACAAACTGATGACTTCTTTTCGATATTCTTTAAACGCAGTTGATGACAATTGTTGAGACACAAGTCAGTACCACAGTGAATGGTTTTAGCCCTGGAGTTGTGTAAACAACATTCCTATTCAGGACTTCACTAACCCGACGATCGTATTACCCCATTAACCTATGACAAAAGTCAGTGTCGCGCTTTTGTAGATTAGCTCAGCATGACATTGCGCACTGAAAGTGACGGATTACAAGTACGGTGCTGTCTTACCCAATCAAAGCCAGCCTTGGCCTGACATATTCTGTTGTATGACCAAAGCCGTACGGAAACATAGCACGACTTCTTTCTTCCACTCCACTAACGCTCGGTGGAGACTGGGTGACAGATGCTGCGTGAAGGAAAAATGAATTAATAAGAATAAACCCTTCATTACTAATATGTTGCAAGTGGTATGATGTATCAAAATTTCTTTTTGTAAAATCTTAAGAAAAAAAAATAGCACTGTACCAAAGAGGTTTCATTTGAATTGTAACACACTTTTACCCAAAGATTTAAAAGCTACTAATACAGAAACAAATAATGTCGCCATAGATTAGTCCAGGATTATGATACTACAACGGTAGCAGACAGTGGTATAAAGTCATGGCGAATCACTCATAAAGAGGATTGAAGCGTTAAATGCCAATTTCTACTTCAGGTAAAAAATGCTAGCTTTTTGCACAACTTGCTTCAGTATTCAATCCAAAAATATTATCACTCAAAGAGCTTTTTTCTTGGGTTTGAAAAAAACCTGGCCAAAAAATCATTTTGGAATAAATCTGCAAAACAGGGAAACCTTTTTTAAAACAATTTTTTGAAAGACAGAAAAATTTGTCATAATAATAGTGACCTTAAGGGGACACTGTTTACAGGTACGGGTAAGCGAACATGTTTACCTCGTAGTTTTATAAAAGGCAAACATGATTAACCAGACGTGATAATGGCTTCACCATTCTGCAGGGTAGCCTACCCGTTTCTTCCGGGTAAGAGGGCATCTAACCATATTTACGGCTAAGTGTATGGCTAATTTACCCGTACCCGTACACGGAATACCTTAAGGTCTCTATTCTTGCCTGCATGAGTATTGGCTCATTTGCCTTAGTTCAGTAAACTCTTGCTTTGTGACGTCCTTTGGGACGATTGTTTGAAACATATTTCCGTTGTTAAGGACTCCAACTCTAAAAGGCCTGTGGACACTTTTTGAGTTTCTAAGCGGCTAGGTGGGAAAAGAAAGGAGAGCTTGCAACTACGTCTCTGTTCCCCTGTGGCTCCCCATTGACTGAGCTGTCAGATTTCTGCCAATCAGTGCAAAGCGGAAATGAACGCAAATGTAAAAAAACATTGAAAAACAAGTGAAAGCACATGCCATGGGTAATGGCGTCATTACTTTTGTCATCTCTGCCAATCAGCATTTAGCATTGACATTATTGACGCTGGTATTCCAATTCCAGAGACGAGGTTGCAAGCTCTCCTTCCTTTTCCTACCCCGCCACCAGAGCGCCCCAGAGAGCTCGCTTGCAGGCTACCTCCTACAGGCTCTACTCACGATACCTATCGTGTCTGGCTAAAATAACGGCAGTTGACTATGAAGTGGAGCAAAATTAAGATAGCACTATAGAAAAACATACTGTTGGGCACTTACTTGTCCATGGCTGAACAACAGAAGCTAACAGATGTGAAAGTCTTGTTGCTTGATCCACGAGAGGATGACGCTCAAAATCTTCCCACTTTTCAATAAAAAATAATGATAATAATGTTTTATCAGGAAACTTTCATTCAAGTACGTGTAAGTGGTTTTCAGGAACCAAGAAATTAAGAGTCTCCCACAAAATGCCCCAGCTTGTAAACCAAAAACTTAAAAGTACAAACTTACAAATGCATTGTTGACAGCATCAACAAATCTATCTTCCTCCATAGAAACAAGCTGTTTAGCATGTTCAGCACTTGTTGACCACACTAAAGAACTCAGATTTTCTGTTAACTAAGTCAGAGAAAAAGCAAAAATGAGTATTCATTTAGAATTTCACTAAATAAAGGACAACCACCAAAATATGCAACATTTTTTTAAGGGGTGGTGATTTTTTAACTTAATTAAATTTAAAGCTTAACACAATATTCAGTTCTGTCTACTCTCAGGAAAAAAACCAACAACAACAACAAAAACTTCAACAGCAAACACATAAGTAACTAATCACTGTACTTAACAACTGGCAAGGACATTCAAATTTATTAAATACAAGTTCACTTTCTCCCTACAACGGCCAGCATTGAAAACATGGCCATAAGCACTCTATCACATGGTCAATACTGTGAGCTGATTCTCGTGAATAATCAGCTCTAGTTACATCCACTTAAATGGATTCCAGAAGTGGTCACTTAATTATGAGAACATCAACAGTATTGTTGTTCTTACTGGTAAGAGTGCTATGGGTCCTGTGGGTAAAAACTTCTGCCATGCGACCACATTCTCTGTTATCTGAAAATTAATGAGTTATAATAATGAGGGGGGACCTGGAAAAACCTCTGGAGACTTCAGTGGTGGCTTCAGACCTTTAGGTTAGGGCAGGGGGGAGGGGGGTAGTCATCCTGACCCTGAGATAAGGGGGCGTCCCAAAAATAATTTTGTTTCAGCTCAAAGGGCCTCAGTTTGGTCTAAAAATAAGGGGGGGGGGGGGGGGGGGGGGCCCCCCCCCACATCCCCCCCCCGCGCTCCCCAAGACCCGTGAAAACAAAATTTACATTGATGGAGAGAGGGAAATTTGTTTTAAAAAAAAAGAAAAAAAAAAAAAAAAAAAAGGGGGGGGGCAGGCCCTCCCCTAGATCTGCCACTGGACTTCCCATGAACTGCTAGAATCCAAATTGCATTGCATGTGAAAGGGAGAATTGCTTATAAAATCAAAGGAATCAATAATAAAAAAAACATCAATGCAGTAGATAATGTAGTTGGTTATCCTAAAACACAGTTTTAGCCACTGAATAGTGGTGATTCATCTGGTATAGAGCCATCTGCCTTTTGAACAACTTGCCTGGTGTACAGGAAAAAATACTACTCACTACTCCTGGTGCAAGTGATATGGAAACAAGAATCCGGAGATGGAATAATTGCCCTTAATTTTCCCTTTCCTCTCCTTTTGTCCCCATCCAAGGGGAGTACTCTGGATTTCATGTGATGGTGATGATCAAATGGAGGCAAATATCAAAACCCAAAATATGTGGTCTAGGTCTTTCAGCAAAACCCAAAAAAATCCCTTGACCAAAAATTAACCCCGAAAAATCCCATGCCGAATTTCCAAGCCTTATCAAGTTTGGTGGTACTTAATTCGCAGAACTACATGGCTGAGGCATGCCCTACTGAAATCGACCCACACAAAAAAGTACTTGCCAAATTTTCCTACCCCCAAAAATCCTGGAATTGAAAATTTTAAACCCAAAAAATCCTTCGATCACCCCCGTTATTTGAAATCTGGAGTACCTCCCTGGGATCCCAATACATCTGCCTGGCTGAATTTTCTGGCTATTTGCTATGGCTTCTACTACAGATCCTTTTAAATAACAGGCTAGAGTGAAAGCATTTTTTTTTTAAGTTACCTCTCCAAGATGAAGAGTTGCCACTACTCCAGACTGATCATACCTCCAAGAAAGACACTCCATATTGGTTTGCTTTCGCACTGAAGACTGTGGTCCATCAGCTCCTATCTTTCCAATAAAAAATTATTGCAGTCATTTTTACCGAGCACATTAAGAGATATAAAATTTGGTTTTACTTCCTGAATTGACTACGAAAATTATGTTAGACACACACAAAAAAAGAATCTTGAAAAAACTAATTCCTTCAAACACTATCCCCCCATACAGTTATTAATAGATTATATCTTTTTTTCATTAGCTTTGATCCAGTTGTGACAAAGGCTTTAAATTAAAATAGTTTTATTCAATCATTCAAAAATAATGTACCACTAATCTTGAATGCAATGTTTTCCCATCTTCCAACTCTAATTTTGCCCAAGAATGACCAACATCTTCAGAATCCTTTAAATAATAATAAAAATCATTATTACTTCATCTGACTTTTATATCAAGAAACATAACCCTCATTCACTTGTACAAGCCCAGGATTGAAAGCAAAGTTTAAGCCATTAATAAACACTAGTACATTCTCACAAACTGGTTACTGTAACTTAATTAATTATATATATATTTTTTTTCTTTAAGGAGATTTATAAATGATTTGATCAAAAAGTTAAACACTAAAAGATTTTTTTTTTTTTAGCGTTTAACTTTTTGATCAAATCATTTTCGAAATCTCTCCTCTTATGAGATTTATAAAACCGGTGTAAATTAATATAGGATTTTAGCAGAGGAATCTATCTCCAGTCAGATATAAAGTTCATATTACAATAATCTGGCATACGAAAGGTAGAAAGAGTACAACAGGTCCTCAAGGAGTCTCTCCAGCCTCTGCCCCCCAAGGTCTGTGGTGGGAAAAATGTACTATATTTGAGTGTATTTAGCACACAGGTAGGTACTATTGTGGACACTATTTTAATGTCTCCTTCTGGAGAGAAGACTGCAATCTTACGTAGTCATGGCAGCCATGTGAAGGTCTAGCCATCTGCAGGGCAAAGGAACTACCTTCATTTCTCAGTTTTTTCAATACGCTGAGTATTAATTGGTCGGCCCTAGGTATCGAACCCATGACCTCCTGGCTGCTCTGCAGTCAAGCATTCCACCAAGTGAGCTAATCCCACAGTACAGCCCTGTATTCAAGATTGAAGAGGTTACTTAGAGAACGCAGGATATGTTTAAATTCCAATATGCTCAGTTTTTGTAGCAGCCCATTTGCATTCTTGCTCGAATAAGTTACTTCAAGTCCTGAGATCTAAGCTGAAGTCTTATGGTGATTGAAAATTTTCTATTGCAGGACCTAAATTATTATGGAACAGCATACTTGCATCTTTAAGAAATGCAGATTCCTTGAATTCTTTCAAAAAACACTTGAAGACATATTTATTTCACTAAGCTTTTTCTTAATTTATAAATAGATTTTTATTTAATTTTCGTACTTATATCTATGTAGTTGTTAGTTTTTTTAGAGTTTTAATACTTTGTAAAGTGCCTAGAACAGTTAATGATATAGATGCTATATAAATAAAATTTATTATTATTATTATTATTATTATTATTATTATTATTATTATTATTATTATTATTATTATTATTATTATTATTATTATTATTAAATTCAAAACTGCAGGTACAGTTGTACTGGTAAAACTTGACTATAAAGATTTGGGTTATAGCTATATAGACTATCCCTTGCATTCAAAAGATTTCTCCTGCTAAGGCACAATTATGTCAAGTGGATATACAAGACAATTAAGGTAAGAAGCTACAAAAAAAGATAGCAAGTGTAAATTTATACCATATCTATTGTGAAATCTGGAAGAGTCAGCCTTGAAAGCTTTGTTCCATAAAGAACTTTTACTCTTGAATCAAGAACTTTCAGTTGCTTTTTAAGAGCTGCAATGGTTACTGGATTTTCTACAATAAATCCCATATCTGTTGAGTCATCATCAATGGTACTTGAGTAATCAAATGAAATGTGTGCATCACTACATGCATCCCAGACCTAATGACAACACAAAATTAAACAATATCAGGGTCAAGAATTTTTTGTTACTGTGAAGATTTGCTAAAAGCCTTGGATCTCCAGCATGTATACTGTTGTGGTGTTACCATTTTAACAAATCATCTTTGGTAGAACTTCTGAAGATACTATCTATACATCATGTATTGTATTTCAAGGGATATTACAAAGAGAACTCTAAATTGTTTTGTGAAGTTTTTCTTTAGCTATTATAAAAAGTGAAGTAATAAAATTTTATTGTAAAAATCCAAAATGAGATATGTTCTAGATTGCCATAATAGAGATAATTAAGAATCCAATGTTTCACCTAAATGTGTAAGAGCTTTTTCTAGCTAGTTATCAGAATTAAAAAGGAATATTCCAACAAATTAAACCTACAGTATGATCTACTGAGTACAAATTTAGATGGAGAGGTACACTTTTAAAATGGTAAACTGTTTCTAATAATCATCAGATACCTACTTGCATTCTGCGAAATGGCTTGTGTCTTATGTTACAAATGTGATCCCAGGCACCAATACCTTTCAAAGCAAAAAGACTGTTAATAACAGAGTCACTAGCTGAACAGATCAGAGGTTGGCTTAGATGCACGGGCATACTACGTATACTAGCTAAAAAGGGAACAATTAGGCTCCTTCCACTTTCAGCAATATACTCATTTGTATTTTAGTTCTGGGCATGGGAGTTTATAAAAATAATGTACCCAACTAAATAATTTGACCAATGGAAAATTCTGCATACCAGTATTTGACTTAATTTGTTTTTTTTTTTTGCATTTTATCAGAAGGTTCCAGGCTACACAGATATTTACAAAATGTTAATGACTAGCACCTCACTTTATTAATATTAGAAAATACAAATGATTGTAATAGTGCCTTCAACTTACTTTCCAGAAGTTTTTTAGATCCTGGTGTAATGCTGCTAACACGGTTACTGTAAATGGAAGTTATGTTTTCTGCTTTGTCTGGAGCAGCATCAAGTAGCAAAATCTTATGGTCATCTAATGTTCTTTCAAGACCTTGTGGAAAAGATGCAAAAGCAGATGATGAAATAACTTAATAAATAAACTACATGGATAAAACCAGACCAAGGATTGATAGCCATTAAAGTTTTAAAGGCAGTAGCACAAGAGAAGGAGGATCATGAGGTTATCCCTACGTCAAAAACTCTCCTCCAGCCCAGGAAAGGTTGACCACACCACTGGGGTCTATGTCCCCTACTCTTTTCGAATGATGGTGTGAGTTCTTTTGCATCCCATAAGAACTAGATAAGTGACAGTCCTGTGAGACAGGACCTAAGGTTTTCGATCGTTATCCAAGAAGACTAGAAAGTCTGACCGTTTGCAGATGCCATTACAAAGGCAGCACTTTCTTCTCAGTTATTTAAAGACCCCGAGTGTTGGTCCAGCAGGGATTTGAACCCGCGACCTCCCGCTCACCAGTCTGACGGTCTCCTAACTGAGCTAACCAGGTGGTGGTCTGGTCTGGCAGTTTATTGTGAGTTCCAGAAAACATCCATACCACCAAGAGACAGAGAAGTTTATCTGCAAGATTCATCTGGCATGAAATCAAAGTTATCGATCTACAGGAACAAGACCCGCACTTGAAAAGCAATAGTTAGCAGACCTGTATAATACTGTATAATACTAAGGTTTCTAACACTTTCTCATATATTTTCCCATTACATAACCTGATAAGAAACACCTGACGGCATTTCCACATGAAATCTTGTCTAACTGAAGGAAACATTTAATTTTAAGGAACAAAATTACCCAGCATGGCTCACCAGAAGAGGTACCCTCATTCCCTGGAAAATGAGTTGGGTAATCAAGCATCAAGCATCTAATAAGAGTATCCATGCTAACAGTTATGTAGTCTGGCTATTAAAGCTTAAAGGAAAAATGGACATCCCAGGCACCCACCTCCACTAAGTGATGCAGTTGTTAACTTTTACTAATTCCCACTATCTGAGAGCACGAAACAGGCTATTTTCATGGGTAAGAAGCTTGGTTTGTCCAAAAGAGAATGTCTGGAAGAGGGGGGGGCAGGGGGGGGGGGATCCCGCTGCACATTTCTGCTCTTTTTTTCATCAATATCCTGCATCCCACTATTTATTTTATGGTTTTTCTGAATTCCTTTTGGGGTTTCCAAAAACAATTGTATAAAACAAAACTAATTAACAAGGCACACTCTATAGTTCGGTTTGAAAGGAGACACTGCTTGATGTGCTCCTGGTTGATTAGTATTTGCTGCTCAAATGTATGATTTGCTGAATTCCCAATATACAGGAAAAAAAATCCTGCACCCTGTGCCCAAACTTTGGCGAATCCTGCTGCCTTGGTTAAGCAGTAAAATCCCCTTTCTTGTAAAGATATCATGCATTTTTCCAAATCCAACACTGTATTTTGGTCAAATCCCGGATCCCGAAAATACTGCTTTCGGACTCTGCAGTGGGAGACAATTAAGACGCACCTGAAAAACTACAGATTTCCAAGGTGTATGCAGAAGATTATATTTTTCAAGATATTTCTGATATTCTGGACTGGAGAAGAACAATTCAATAAGAGATTCAAGGCACTGGTTTGGATGAGTCAGTTAAAAAGTCAGTTAACATGTACCACGTACCAGGCCAAATCATGGGTTAATTGCCCTGGTTAAGCCCAGAAGATAAGTCGAAAATAATATTATTTGGCCAAGGAATGTCGGGCAAACATGTGTAGTGGTCTCGCAGCAAACTCACTCACCTAAGGCACAGGCCAGACTTGCACCAACCATTCCACCACCAACGATTGTAATATCGTAGAAATCTGCTGCATCCTTGCCAGCAGTGGAGCATATAGAACAGATCCTAAGCTTCAGAAAGTGAGTGCAAGAAAGAAAAGATTTGCTCACAGCTGATCTTAACATGTTGCAGCTGATTTTCTCAACACTTCGACATCGATTATCTAACACTGCCAGTGTTCTGACATGAAGTACTTCACCGGCATTCACAGAGCCGCTGACTAACAACTGCGATCCTAATTTGTCACGTCATGTATCTGACACGAAACATCCCACTAGATTCCAAGATGGCTGCGGCGGACAAGAATGTAGTTGCTTTGTTAAATGGCATTGCACGAAGAGATTATTTTGGAGAATCAGAGATCACGGACGAATTTCTTCATCAGGAACTTTTTGCGGATCTCGAAGACGAACAGTTTCAATCAATGTTGAAGAAATACGAGACTTTGATGCGAAATATCGTTTCCGCAGACATGGATTTTAATCAGCTCGAAGCTTTTCTTACTTCCCAGATGAAGCGCAAACAAGGTGCTTTAACTCAGGGACAAGCTGCAGCATTCTTAAAGTTCTGGAAATCACAAAAGACAAAGATACATGACGTGCTAGTGCAGAAATCTTCCTGGAATAACAAATTGAAAGACATCAACTGGAGGATTGATTTGAAAAGCCAAGCAAGACATCTTCAACAGATTAACACTCCTGTAGCAATTGTAGAAATGCAAGTGGAAAAAAGGTCCACAGAGAATAAGGTAAGATGTCCTTGCTGATTCTACTGGAGAGAAGTGGGGGTAGCACCGGGGAGGGGGCGGTACTCCCTTTAATTTACTATGGGGGCGTGCCATAGACTTTCAAAAAAGTCCTTTGTCCGGTTTAATATGGCGTGGGATGAAGGACTTTTCATACTGATAGGTGCCAGTTTTAGCGACCCAAAAATGGGTCGCTGTGCTTAGACCAATCAAAGTAGCTCTTAAAGACCCTTGGGAATAAAGTTGTCACACTCAAGTAATTAAGGGCATTGAAACGTGACTTGCCCATTATGAAAGTGATAAGAAGCCGCAGGATATTCCGTGGAAAACAATCGAAGCATATCTTTCAGGGAGAGGTGTTTTTGTGTCTGTAATGGGTGTGCAAAGAATGTAGTCTCCGATAACCCAGGGCTAGTGGATTTTGCTATCGGGCTAGTGAATTATGTTTTTAACTTACCCGACGGGCAAGTGTTGTTTTTTGAGGAATTTGAATGACAGAAGAACTGTGAAATTAATTCTGCTTGTCAAAAAGCTTTTAGGGCTAGTTGAAATGATGCCTGGGCTAGTAAATGCTAGCTTCAAGTTGCCCGAATGGCAAGCTGTAAAAATGATTTTCTTGGCACCCTGCTGTTCCAATCGAGGCTAGTAAAAGGCTGATTTTTGAGCAGACTCCATACACTTACAACAGTCTTTTTAGCGAGGATTGCAATACCATCGTTTTGGTGATTGTTCCACTAATTTCTCTTACGATAGATCAGGTCTCAAATCTGAATTCCTGTGGTATTAGAGCATCATACGTAGGAGACGATTGATTGATAAAAGGTGATTGTTATACCCTGTTTCAGAGTTAGAGGCAAAAACATACCCTGTTGAGTGGACAGAGGGTTGCATTACAAGGTGCAGTTTTTCAATGCCGCCTCTCCTACACACAGGAATACTACTACCAAAGTTCAGAGGAAAGGGGAGTGGCCGTGGGGGTTAAAGCTAAAATTATTAATTATTATTATTTTCACTGAGGGAGGTTCTTAGGTATTGCAAATCATGTTGGCATAAAATAAGGAAACAGAGGGAATTCCTCTGGCCCCTTTTATGTGCTATCCACTACCCTCAACTCTATGTCCTTCAGAAAAAGTCTCTTTTTTGCCCCTTAGCAACCTTTAGGGCCCCTGGGAAGGGGAAGGTCACTGCCATACATGAAGGACTATAATAGGTTTGGTACTTAAGAGGTAGGGTATAGAAGTCAAGGCCATCTAGACCATCAAAATGGAAATACTTGATGTGACACAGACAATCAGGGTCATGATTGCATTCATTTGGATAAAACTCACATCTTTCTAGATGGTTGCAACAATAGTGAAAAATTGCAAGTGGCCACATAAAGATTACTTGCAGATGATCAGCGTGATCAGATTCTATCCCAGCATTCATTATTTTTTTCGTGTTCAATGCACTTGTTGTAGTTCTTTTTTTATCTTAGGAAAAATAAAAATTATCTGAGATAAAAAATTAACTACAACATACTCAAGTAAAGAAATAATATTAGACTCAGGAATTTTTGGAGATACCACAAACTCAGACAATTGAGGTGATTATATCATGGAAGCTAATGAGTCACCCCAATCAACTCAACTTTTTTTACAACTGCATTGTAGGGTGTTCAGAACAATAACAGGGGAACCAGGTCCTCATGTTTATTTTTCTTCTTTCAGGAAACAGATGTTTTTCAGTTTGAAATGGATGAATCTCAGCTGACTAATGTGCTCTCAAGTATTGATGAAATTGAGAAGAAACTAGCAAGTTATGCTCAGTGATCACAGGAACAAACACGTCTTTCTTACCAACTTTTATTCAAGTCACTCCATCAACTGAACATAACAACATGAAATGAAAAAGCATAGTAGCTGATCATAAAATTAACAAGGAAAAATAATCTCTGATTATTAGTGAACTTATGCAACAGTACACAGGGGAATGAAGATGGCAAACCTTGTGTGACAAGCATGTGACAAGTGTGACAACACTTTCCCTTAAACAGATCTCTATATAAAGACCAGAAAACACCAAGATACAACAAGAGAATATCATGACAAAACATGCAAGTAATGTATTATAATAGCCCAGTCACGTTTGTCACGCCTATTTTTTTTCCCTTTTTTCCCGTTCTAAGGAGCCTGGTCCAAGGCTATTTTGATGTACTTCTTTTTGCTGCCCTGTTGTGTAACACCTAGTATAGACGTCAAACTTTTCATGAGCCAAACCTAATTCAAATTAAGGCCGACCCAAATTATTTAGATCGGCTGAATTGATTCAGACGCTGATCTTAATTCCAGCTGGAAAAAAAATTCAAAAGGAGAAAAATGCTCATTTCGGTAAAACTACTTGCAAAATACACTATAATCATTTTATGTATTAGGACATGAAAAGTTTGGTGTCTGAATCAAAGCCGTTCCAAAGTCACTTCAAAGCTGAAATCCCTGACCAGGCTATGCAGGAAGCACGGCTGAGCCATTCCAAATTGAAAAAGAAATTTCTTATTGATTCAGAAGCTGAACTTTACATGTGCTTAATTCCTTGCATTAGGTTCGGCATCTGAACCAGGCCTAAGCTCACTATAATAATATTTGTATCTAAATTTTTAGTAGTTAAGGCACAATTTAGATAAATTCTACGCTACGTGAGACTTTCAATACACAGGTTTTGTACCACAGTTGTTGCTCTGTATTTACTGTAGTATATAAAATTAGAAGAATTATACTGGCAATATAGAAATCTAAATTGAAAAATTAGTATTTTAAGATATTGAAAATATAATGTGCACTGATTTTACAAAATGCACTTCATTCAGTCATTTCATACCAAAAAATGCTCACCTCAAGACCACAAAAAAAATATTGCCACTATTTAAAGCTATTTGCAATTGAATTTTAGACCTTAGAATGCAAAATTGTTAACTTTCTTGTTTATGCTTGTCGTTTAAGTTGAAAGTCAACAAAGGCTCTTTTGTAAAAAAGAAGTCAGGCATTTCAGCTGTCAAGTGAATGATATTTTGACGTCAATATTGTCCGCTCTTCATCTATTAGCAGGATGTTGAGTGGCTTCCCAATAGCTTGAAAACACTATTTATTTTTAAAGGTACCTTTTTTGTGATTTTGAGAACATCGCTTCCACTGCAAAAAGGTACCTCTTTCTTGCTTTAAAACATCGTTTGGTAACAATTTTGCATTTTGTTCTATGAAAAATGAATGCAGAAACTTAGTTTTTCTGCTCTTTTTAAGTAACAAAGATGACCTTTCTGTAAAAAAAAGTAGAATGGCCAGAATCTTTCACTGATTCTTCATGCTGCACTTTGACTTTGCCCTTGATAAATATGGTGATTTCAAATAAATACCTTTTCCCAGCAAGAAAGTAAATATTAAGTTTCTTGTATGTGCGACAATAAAGTTTACTTTAAATCTTGTGTCCGGACATCCTAAACAAATATCAGAAAATACAGCCTGTTGTTACAACTTACATAGTATATGGTAGCGGTAACTTGCTTCAAGTATTACCACCATTATAAAAAATTAATTTGATATCAATCCCAGCTTTTTTCTACTAATTTATTAAGCTTAACTGCCTGACTCTTAGAATAGTTTAAGTAATAAGTAATGTCTTTAGATACAGACAAAAATTTTTAATCCTGTATGATTAATAAAATGTGAAAGAAATTCTGTACAACACTGTTAACTGCTGACAACTAACCTTCAGTTAGTTGAAAATAAATCAAAACTGTGAACTAACTCAAAGAAGGAAAAAAAGGCAAAATTAATTCTTACTCTATTTCCTTAGGGTATGACATACGATTCATTTTACAACTTGTGTTTTTCTAGTCACAGAAAGTGGAGCTAGTGGTTTTGAAGGAAGGATTTAATTCTTTTGATAAAGCTCTACTCTGTGGATTGAATAGAGGAGCAGGGGAGGGGGGCAGGAGGGTTAGTACAGAGTCCAGACTGTAGTTAAGGTTGAGCATACTGGATCACAGCAAAACTACCTGATGTCATCCAGTCCTTACTAATAGCATCAAGCTTTCCATCTTGTCCTGAGATTAACCCAACTTGTACATTTGCCTTGAGAGTTCTCAACGAACACAATGGAGCAGGCAAAAATCCCCACAGCGCTTCTACAAATGGAGTTGTGTGAGGCCACTTACGATCACCAACCAATTTTCGATAATTCAAATCACCTTTGAAAAATACCAGTTTGGCCTTCGACAGATGGTCATACAAGTCAGGGGCCACGCTTTTCATTTCGCCGAAATCTTGTGCCAGCGTCCAAAACTGATGATCTTCTAAGACAATTGAGCCATCTTGAATGCGATTAAGCCATCCTTCACTAAGCTGCTGTAAGAACTCGTTTGAAGATAGCTTCATTTCCTCAAACATCCAAAGAAGATCTTTCTTGCTAGCATCAGAAACAAACCATGGGATTTGTTTTAGGTGGAGATGAATCTTCTCTGCTAGTTTTGCATGTAACAAAAACTCAGCAAAACAGAGATCAGTGAAAAGTTCAAACCCAGAGTTGTCCAGGACAAAGTCAATTCTGGGATTTGTATTGCTATGAATTGCATTCCAGACATCCTCCAAATTGTCAACAATAATGTTTCCTTTCAAGTGTTGAAGATGGACAGCCTTTGCAGGCCCTTGTTGTCCAAGTATTTCTCCACTTGAGATGGAAAGATCACAGCGGTTTCCCCACAAACAAAACTGAATAAGAATAATCAAAAAAGGAAAATGACATAAAAATCTCAAAAGACTGGGAATCTAATAACATAATTTTCAGTTAGTTATAGTTAGGCTAGGCGTGGTATTGTGTTCAAGTGGGAAGACAGTAATCAAGGAAATTCTGGGTGGGGCACAGCACTGGGACCCTGAAACCCTTAGCCTATACCATGGAAAGCATCCAGGAGGCCACATTATGCAACAGAAAAGAACCTCAAGGCTGCAATTCACATCATTTTTACAGTTGAGAGTATAATATGCTTAAAATAATAATTGTCCATTATTTCACACCAACATTAAAAAATTTCAGGAGCTTTATTTTTTGGCATAATGTTCCCAAAGAAAAATGTTTATTTGATTAGCATTTTTAATAAGTGAGGAAATTTCTTGCAGATTATATGACTGTGTATGATTATTATTTTTATTTTTGACACCAACAAAAACTCATTAGGGATCGAAACATGTAGCTCACGTTCAATTCTTGCGAATATTCATTGGTCTAAGTACTGAAATTGGAAAGCAACAGGTGCAACAACAAATTATCATGAGCATCATGCTTTTTTGCTGTCACTGCACGATTTCGATCTGAAAGTGCCCTATTTCATGATTTGCTGAGGTAAAAAACACAAGATAACAACTTTCTTTTTCTTTTCCTGAACTTTGATACAGTCTTTAGAATTCAACTCCAAAAACATTAAATTGGTAATATTTCACGAACTGAATGAAAAAGAATAAGCATGATGAAGTCCGAAGCAGCGGAAATTCACTTTCTAAGTGAAATTTCATAGCCATAGTTTTTGCTTAATCACCCTATTTTCTGAGCAGGCACAGGAACCTGGAGTAAAATTACTTCAAGTCATTTATGAAGTTCTATTGGTCAGTTATTGCAGGGGTCATCCACTGATTAGACTTTGCTATTTGGATGATCCCAACACGCTCTCTATTTTGTTGTTACAATTTTTCTTTTATTCCTTAGTGGTACTGTGTTTAGTTGCCTATGTAAATATTTTAACCTTTATGTCATGTAAAACTGAGCTGAGTTTAATAAATCATCCCTTCTCTCTTGTTATCTGTTCTTCTCGTTCCAAATATAGTACTTGCGAGAATGAATGTTCACGAGCATCGAACAAAGCAAACATGTGGGAGTTACACATTTCAAGTTGAACCCTTTATGAGTTTCTGATATCAATAAATTGTGCAGAATCATGGCAATGCATTAAATCAGATATCTGAAAGGCTGCATATTAAATTCCCTACTTCCTTTCTTACAAATTTGCGTACCTGGAGCAACGTGTCAAAAACACTTTTTATGGCACCTCCACCATCTCCACTGTTTACAGAAGTTGTCTCCATGGCTTCACAGAGAAACTGAGCCAGAGACTCAGCTGAGGATTGAAGTTCTTTGAAAGAAGTTTCTTTCTGCTCTTGGAAAGGATCAAAACTCTTATGGTGCTTGCTACACACACACACAAAAAAAAATATTAGGAATATAAAAACTGAGATCTAGTGGAAGTCCTAAATTTCCGCATAATAGAGGCCGATGGGGTAAAATTCTGACCAGCGGCATGGCATTGAAAAACCAACATAACACAGATGAAATGGCAACAAATGACATAAAGATGGGTTAAATACCAACAAGGACATGGCCTACTCCTCAAAATGAAATTCAGACTAGGAACATACCTACCCCCCTAAGAAGGCTTTATAGTGCAGCTCTTGCCTTTTTTCATATTTCATTACAAGCACAATCTTTCATATATTTGGTTCTGTTGAAGTACCAGTCAAAAAAGCATCCCCACTCACTAGTGTTAAGAATCGGTTCGGGCCTGGTTCAGATGCCATACTTTTCATGTGCCGAACCTAGCTGAATAAGCTTGACTTCAGGGCAACACTGGCATGACATCTGATTCAGATGCCTAAGTAAAGTTTGACAATAGTTCGACAGACTCTGTCGATCTTTTGCCGCACCTAACTAAAAATGCTGTACCAAATTGATTCAGATGCTGCTCTTTTACCGTACTTAATTCATCAGTTAGGTTGGGCACACGAGTGGCGCAGTGTCTGAACCGGGCCTGAGATTCCATAATAGATCCATTCATGGTTTTTTCAACTTTTGACTCAGACCAGTTGGTGAAAATCCATTAACATGACTGTAAAGAATGCCATAAACCCAGTAAAGTTTGAAAGTGATTTGCTGAAAACTAATGAAGATAAAGCTCTGCAAAGTCACAGATTTTACAGATGTTTGTATGGTAGGAGGCCTGTCCCGTGCTCTCCACCAAATTTTGCAACTTTGTGGAGAAATATCTTTGATCTCTTTGGACATATCACCTTCAAACTTGGTAAATTTCCTAATTTTAAGGCCCTCTTTACAGAAGTTTTAGTGGATATAAGCTTGTAAACTGCTCTTTATCAAAAGTTGAAAAACACATAGAAGGGTGATCTACAGATCAACGGAAATAACCAGATTGATCCACCTGATAGACCACCGATTACTACTGCCAGAAAAATCTCTTTGCTGTACTATGTTTTAGAACACGGGAACAACACACAAAATTTATCATTAAAGGGAAATCAGTGAATTTAGTGCCATTGAATGGTTAGGGTGTCTGATTTAGAACTTGGAGGGTTGTGAGTTTGGTAATAAAATTCTCTTGCTTTTGTATGTATGAGACCATTAAAAAGACGACATGTTTATTTGATAACAAGAAACTTTTTGCCTCGATAATGGATTGAACATTTTCCACAAATTGACTTTGATCAATGACTTGTTATAATCTGTAATCAGCACATGACTATCACTGACCTGAGAGAAAATGCCTCATAAATCTTGCGATACATGTGGCACTCAACAACAAGCCAAGCACCAGTGAAAGATGCAACCTTGTTGTCATCCACCAGTGATTTAGTGTTCTCGATGGTGTCATTCCAAATTCCTACATCCAGCCGGTCATCCTCCAGTGACATCAGAGGTTTATTGGTTTTTATTTCATACCTCAGTTTTGAAAGCTTTGCTAATACATCCTTGCTGTCTTCTGTATACTCCTTGTAAGTTTGAAATAGAAAGAAAAATTTATTCAGTGGCAAAGGTACCCAAGTGGGTCCTAGAGACTTTGCATAATTTGCGATTTCCAGTTTACTGTCAAGTCTTTATAGTGACCTGTACAAAAAACCTCTGAATCAGAGCATTTACATCGGTTTAGTCCAGAATTTGGACACGACGGCTGACTGACTCCCAACAACCAGCCAAGGACTTTAATCTTATAGTTGGTTGACAAAAAAAATGACACCACGTGAAAGAATATTTCAAACTGTGTTGTTTATGTATAGCCTGCGAACAGAGATGTATTTCATAGGCTAGTTTATGTAAGGGTAACAAATTATGGATATGAACCGGGACCACATTGGTGGGAGGCGAGTGCTCTCACCACTGCGCCACCTTTGCTGCCCAAGTAGTAATCTGTAATTTTTAATAAAGTACAAGTTAAAGATGTGAAAGTTATGCAGCAGAAGGATCAAAAAACAGAAAATAGTTATCAAAGCAAACTAAACCAGAAAAAAAGATAACCTGTTGGTTTTCATCATAGAAAGCTGAAGCTCTTCTATGAACCAGGTCAATCACTTTGGTCAAAATAACTGGCATTCTGTCACGTATTGTAAGATATGCAAATGACCTAAACAGGAAAAAAATATTCAAATAAATCAGGTGTATGCAATAAATCTGTAAGTATGTTAGAATCAATCACCGGAGAGGAGGATTTCCCATCTGACAGGGATGGGTCACTTGTAGTCTCGCTTTTGGATGTACATTGAAAATATTGTAGGGTTTGAATCCACTAGTACTTTCAGATCGACTTTCAGAAGAAAAGGTTTAGGGTTGTGTGTAAAGAAGTAAATTATATGCCAAACAGGGCTGTCACTTAAGGATAGGAAGGGGGAGAAGCACTCCCTCGGCCTAATGCATGAGCTGGCATGAGTGTGTGCCGGGGGGGTACTTGGGTTAATTTTTGATGGGTATGTGCTGCTGACTTCTCACAGCCCCTACCCTATTATAGTCTCTTCTGTGGCCAATTTTTTGGGCAAATGTAATTTTTGCACTCCCACTGTATCTTAACCTTATCAATCCTTTAAATAGGTCATCTTAAAATGACTTGACCCATTTTTTTTAAATTGAATAAAGAACGCTTTACTTTCCACCTACAATACAAATATTCTGGTACGCTTGCTAACCATAAATATCCATGAACATGAAGAACTTTCTTATCCCAAAAATCCAAAAATGTGCGACCCCATTCTAGTAACTCTATTGAAAATGCAACCCCATTATAGCCAAACCTGTCGTGAAAATGGGACCCCATCTAGCGGCACATCCATAAGGAAGTACCCCCCACCCCCCGGCGGCCGATGAACAGGGTAGGGTTTTTGATGTTTTTGAGGGTTTTGTAAACAGGGTATACAATTTCGCTATTTGGCATCTTGAACAGGGTGTCTTTCTGGACTAGAAGCCTTGAGAAGTGTGTAAACTTTGGTCGTCTGCAGTCTACAACCAACAATTTTTTTTTTACTCAAAGGAACAGGAAGGTCATTAAATTCAGCTGATTGCGGCCGATCAATTTCACCGAAAATGTAAACACATAGACAAGTTCACCTACCCTTCATCCTTTCCCGATAAAGGTTCCGGTCTTTCACTGAATACAGACATATTTAAATATGCTTAGACAGGTTTCTGATATACTCGTCCTGCAATGACTGCGACAACTCTATGGCCGTTTCACGCACGCCGTCCCCGTCTCGTCCAGTGGGGGAGATTTCAAGTGTGCTTACATGACCGCAAAAACAGACTAAGTACTCTATGTAAGAAAAATGGCTCAGCGTGAAAGGCTCAAGATTGTCTCTTTACGGAATAATCCAGATCTACTCGAAGAAACTGCTAACTTCTTGAATAGGGAATGGCCATTAAGCCTTACTGCGAGGTGAGATAATGTATAAAAGCTCAATCGAGCATAAACGCCCAGCCTGGGAGAGCAATGGTTATCGACTTTGCTCTCCCTAAACGACCAGAGCAAAAATCATAGACAAGTTTCATTTGTTGCGCTTTTTTGAACCATTCATGCCCAGCCCCTCCCGCCACCCCACGTACAATTTTGAACCCATATATTCATTATATTTCCTAAGTTTCAAGATTTATCAAGGCTGTGCTCTAAGAACGTGATTGAAGGGAGCTCATAATAATCAGTGTTTTGAACCAGTGAAATCAGGATGCCAAGTATGTACCCTGGGTGTTTGCGGCGAAAATTAAGCGGTTGTGACGAGCCAGAAAACAAATTTTTCCCCCTCGTCACGATAAAAAAAACCCCTCTGGCACCCAGGGTACCAAGTATGCTGATTTCTTTGAAAAGAGTAAGATTTTCCAGGGGCACCCAACGAGAATATAGTTCAAAACCACTTAAACATAGCATTGTTAAACGTATTTTAGTATTTAAACGGTAGATATAGGCATATTTTTACCCCCTAAAAATTTTGTCATCTGTTCGGATTTCCTAGCTGAAAGTCTAGTGATCCGAAAATTATAGGGATCAAAACTTACCTTTTCGAAAATTTCAGCCAGAAAAAAGGTTCCCGAAAATTCTAGGTGACCCTCTTAGGGTAAAAATCCGTTAAAAATGGGCAATTATACCAGTTTTTAGATGTTTGAAAACCCTAGGAGAGGCAGGTAAGCAAGAAATTTTACAACACATGTTCTGAAAATTCTAGACCTCAAAATTATGGTCTTCCTAACAGATATTTTCCGAAAATTGACGTTGGGTGCCCCTGATTTTCTGGTCACCTGGGAGCAAAAGTTAGGTGCCAGGCCGGGGCCACTGGGTGCTGCTAGAGCACAGCCTTTTTATAGGGTGGAAAAAGGAAAACTGCAAGACGTACAATATTGCAAAAAGACAGGCACTTTTAGAAGTGCCATCAAGTCAACAGGAATGACTGCCAGTTTTGTTGTTTGTGGACAATCCTGAAAAGGTGCTCTTTCCCCGAAACCCATGAGACTAGGAGGGAAAAGATAAAAAATCATGAGACTCACACCAGAGTTGTGATAATCATTAAGTCTGTGACAATTTCATACAAATCACTGCATATTTGTCACCACACAACTCATGTTTGTGCTTTTGTTTACAGGAATGTAGGAAAGGCCTATTTCAAGTTAATTCGAATATCATTTATTTGGAAACCAATTTGTAATTTTTAAAATGTTATTTCAGGCTTCATTATTTGACTGAAAACAAAGAGGATTTTCCTTGCTCACTCATTCTCCTTCAAACAGATCAGCAAAATCTCTCCAGAGTCATCGGCCATAGTAGACTTAACAAGGTTCTTGGAAAACCAACTTCTGTTTTCTTATCATGTGGTAAGTGTATTTTATTGATTTTTTTTTTCAATTGGTACCTCGGTAATTCTGTCTATCTATTGTGAGCTCAATTTGTGAAGAACTTTTATTGTGAAACCTGATTGTATCGGTGAACAACAACACATTTTGTCACACCAGATAAAATGGCAGCTTTAATTTTATTTCAAATTCATGGAATTACATTGTTGGGTACATGGTAGATTTCCAGCTAATGAAAGCCATAAACTCAAAGAAAATCCCTTACAGTACAGAACAAAACTTAAGGTTTTAACCAGGAGGGGTCTGCAGCAGTGGTTGGGCACTTGCCATAATTTGCACCACCATCAGTCGTCATTTCCATGATCTGCACTAATTATCAACCATAGCTCTCAACCAATTAGCATAAAAAAAATTGCTCATTTTTGTGAAAATAGCATTGGAAACATCATGCAGAGTCTCTGGGCATGAGCTTCATACATGTACTAAAAAATTATTTGCTGCATTTTTATTAGATTTCTTTGCTGGATGATGTGTTTGCATAAGTAACTCCAGACAATTTTCTAATCTTTTTGCACTCCATCACAAGGTCTGTATTAATAATGTTTTTTCTTCCAGTACTGATTGAAAAGGCCAAAAGAGGACATGGATTTGGAAAAAAGCTCATGGAGTTCACAGAAGCACATGCATCACAGTAAGTTTCTCTGATTTTTTAACCCTTTAAACCCTAATATAAGGATGCATATTCTGTACACTGTCTTCTTTTTGTTTTCTGTGGTACTGATAAAGAGAATTTGTTTCACGCCCAAGACTGTTTTCACTTGTCTATCATTCTATTTTTTCTCATGGACCATATATTTATCTACAAGTGCCACTATATTAGAAAACCAATGTTGGTCGCTAGTAGTAGTAAATTATAAGGGATGATTAGAATGACAAGTGTCATACAGCTGAAACTTTCCATACAGTAATATTATCTTTATCATGGTAGCCTGCTACAGGTATTCAGGTAGTGGAGTGAGGCGCGAAGTCAGAGAGTGAGAAAAAAACGAGGAGGGTGAGAGGGAGAGGGCTCACTGATCACCCCCTACCTAACCCCTCTCTGTTTTTCCTGCTCACTTCCTTTTGCACCTTCCCTACAATTTGAATGCCTAGAACAGGTTGTCATCAGAGCAAAATGTGAAGATCATTGTGTAGAAGACATAATTTTGTTGAGATAGGGGCTTTATAATAATAATTATTATTAATCTTCCTGTGGATACTTAATTAATCATTTTCCTGGAGAGTATGAATAGCATTTTTAAAACTTCAAAACCTAAAAAATCCCTCAAGGCAGTTTGATCTTAACCAGATAAGAAGCACTTTTGATGGAACAGATCAAACAGAAGCTTACTATAGAATGAAATAGGAGGACATACAATGCACCATTATTTGTCCCAATAATGCATCCCCTTTTGTGCTAAAAAGGGCACAGTTTAACTATTCCCTTCAATAAACAATGTTTATTCCTGCATTTGTATTTACTTTGTAGATTAGGTTGTACAGCCATCTATCTCTCCACAACCAACAAGTGTAAATTTTATGAACATCTTGGTTATCAATTCTGTTCTCAAGTTTCTCCGGTGAAAACCAGTTCAAGTGTTTTTACTTCCTCCCAGGTGAGTCTTAGCTGGTTAATGCATTCTTAACAGTCTGATCATGCTGTGTTTAACATTATGTATAAAAATAACAGATTCCCATTTTTGGATATTTTAGGGTATTTAAAGAATACCCACAAAAATCCCAAATTTGGAAGAGTGAGACAAGTCCCAACCTGTCGTGAGGGAACTTGGTTGGGAATTCCCTGATTGGGACTTGTCTCACTTTGCCAAATTTGGGATTTTTATGGGTTTTCTTTTAATACCCTAAAATATCCAATAATGGGAATCTGTTATTTTTTCCTGTGATAGCTCACCAACAGGCATAAACTGTTGCAGAGTCGAGCTCATAAAAAAATCAGTAATATTGAACCTTATTGACCAATGTTTGTTTTTTTGAATGAGACTAAAATATCTCGGAAGATTTCATTGTTCAATTTGAATCTGGAATTTTTACTCCTATTAAACCAGTTTCTTTTTCCAATTGAAAGTCATTACTAAAATTAAAAGTAATCTATGAGGTGTAAGGCAATTTGATAAGTAACTGTCAAGAGCAGCTGAATCCGAGGGTGGTGGTCTAAACAGTGCCCCCTGGTCTATGAAATCCACCCACGGACTACCCATATGGACTACCCTAAGATGACCACTCTGCTGAAGTTTAGTGATTAGGGTTAGGAAACTGAGTGAACCAAGTTTCGGGTTTGTTTTTGCGGGGGTGGAGGGAATCAACTCAGCATTGGGCCATTATTCATAAAATGTATGAACTCAGTTTTCACATAAATATTTAGCAATGTTATTATTGAATGAGGCTGTGTAGGATATGAAGAATTCGGTAGATCGAGGATGGTCAACTGTAGCTGGTTATGGTGAATTATATGTGTGAATTTAACCAATCAGAAATGCGGAAATATTTTGAATGAATAATAATATTATTTATTGAACATTGCAGCTTGCTATATTACAAGGCCAGTCTGAAGAACAGAAGCCAAAAAAGGAACAGGACAAGGAAAGCAACAGCGACAATTACAAGACCAAAAACGTTAGAGAGAAAAACAATCACCTCCTTGATGATTATCAGAGTAGACAAAAAATAAGTAATCCTTGCCACTGTGGAATAAACTCTATTGTTAATCACTCAAATAAACACCAGAACATTTGTCATGATGATGGCATATCATTATCATCAGCACTGCTGGAAGAAACAGTCTGTCCATCAGCACTGCCACTACCGCCTCCACCCCCTCCTCCTACTCCACCAATCCCCCATCATTTACATCAAACTCCCTCACAGCAAAGGACTGTTCTTGCAGTATCTCTTTGGATGATGAAAGAAATATGGTAATTTTAGGGGACAAATTAAATGTTTAATATTTGATTAACCAACTATAGTTTTTGAGGTCTTTTTAGTCCTTTTAAGGGAAAGTTCATTTAATATGACAAGGGGGGGGGATGAAGATATTGAGGGGGGGCTCCGAAAATTTTTAGACACCCGAAGGGGGGGCTCTCAAAAAATTGTTGCGCTAGGAGGGGGGGCTCCGAAAATTTGTATACTTCAAAACCAACACATGACATCATCATACAGATCGGATGGTTTTCAACTTATTTAATGACCTGTGCAACTCAGCTATATCACGTGGTTTACAGATATAACAAATGTAGTCTCAGTAATTATTACACTCTTGTTCATCCCAAAAATGTGTCAGAAAATTTCAAAAATTAGAAATGCTCAAACTTTTTATAATAAAACCACATTGATTCAACAAGATTTCAAAATCTGCTAACGGGAACTATAAAAACGATGACTCTGTAACAAGAAATGTTAAGAAATGAAGGAGGAGGGGGGGGGGGCTCTGAAATTTTTTCGACTACCAAGGAGGGGGCTCCTAAAAAATTGAACCGCTAGCGAGGGGGGCTACTAAAATTTCAAGCTTCGAGTTTCAATATCTTCATCCCCCCCCTTGTCATATTAAATGAACTTTCCCTAAAGATTCACAAAACAACCTATACTGTACTACCTTCCAGCTTTTTAATAGCTTGCATTTTGTATCTTCGTTCTCACATACCTATTTTAAGATGTTTGTGTTTCTTTTTTTTTTGGGGGGGGGGTGGGGAAGGAGGGGCTATCAATAATTAATGCAAATTTGTAAAAGCACATTTAGAGGGTTGATGACTTTTTTAGTTTTCCTTCAAAGAGATCAAAACGTTTTGTTGTGCTTTCTGATGGATCTTACCAGCCCACTCCCTGGCTTAAATAATAAACGGTGTGAAAGTGATGAGGGGTGGCTGTGCTCAAAGGCTATCACTGGCAAAATTGTTGTGCCCCTAAAGTGGGCCAGCCATTAGCCCAGGAGCCAGTATAGATACCAATATAGATACCAGGTCCATTTTATTATTGTTGTGTCCTTCCTTCTAAACAGGTCCTGTTATTGTGTTAGCATACCCAGAATATAATTTGATCTCAAATTTCTTAGCTCATAAACCAGTCAAATTAACTGATAGTTTCATTTTATCACTTTCCAAATTTATTGAAACTTTGATCTTGAAAATTATGCAAACACAGGAAACATCAGGAAACATCAGGAAACATAAAACAGCTGTCTGGGCCCGAAAAGTTACTGCCACCATGGATAATATCCATGCCGCCACTTTCGAGAAACAGGCCCCTGGGCTCCTGAAACAACACGTATAGCAATAACCATAATCTTTGTTTATGTGCCGCTCGCTCCCTCTTTATAACTTTTTAAACCTTCCTTTTTACAACAACAACGTCAACCTTATTATTGAACAGATATATAATTACAGTAATGTGGGGAACTAGAAAACCGTCATGGGCTTTTACAAGGTTCCCCTATTATTTAATATTTTTTCCTATTAGGCCATCCCCCCCTTTTTTTTCGTTTAGCGTCGAATGCGTTTCCTGATGTTGGGACGGTCGGTCGGATTGAAAAAAAAAACCTAAAACAAAACACTAGAAGTCTCGGAATAGGAGGCCCTTGTACCCCAGGATGACGTTCAACATTCACATATTTGAATTAACAAAATGCACACAATATACTGTAAAAATCGTTCCTGTTTCTGTTCCTGTTTTTCTCTATGTGTTAGACTGTTACTAAGCTCATTTTTCAGATTTAAAAGGACTATTTCAAGAGAAAAATGGTTTAACTACGTCGTTACTTTTTTTTTTTTTTTTTTGAAAATGCGCAAAATTTGGATCGGTCGGACGACGCTAAACGGAGAGAAAAAAGAGGATGCATGGCCTAAGGCAGCAGCTAATGAAGAATCAGCTTTTCACCGCTGATGTTATTTCTTTGATTTATGTTAATTAGTCGTTGTAAAGGGATTTTGAGGAAGGTTTCATTTGGTCTGTTTCTTAATTTCTAAAACGGGCTTAAGAGTCCCTTATCTGTCAGCTGATTAGCCTGCGTAGACAAAAACCGCCATGCTACGCAGGCTATCAGCTTATCTCTTACGTCCTTTCCTCGATTCGTGAGGGGATCCATGAGTTTCAAGGGAAGAGCTTCAAGTACGTAGGCACGTACTATAATCAAACACAAAAATCAGAACTTTTAGAATAAAGGCAAGGTGAGGAAATCGAAGAGGAAGAAGCAGCAGTATGGATGGATCCAGGGAAAATAAGCAATCCCTTTCGTAAAAAAAATTCTCGTCTATCGTCTATATTTAGAGTTCTCGGTTTATTCCCCAACGCACACACGAAACACCGGAAGCAAGTTTGCAATCGCACGTAAACACGCCATGACGTAACTCTCAACGTCACATTTATTATTTACGTGTCTTATGATTGGATGATGATGTTATTTTCGGGGCATATGATTGGCGAAAAACGTGATTAAAACCGGTTTTGCCAGTTTAGCTGGTTATCTGTGCCTCAACGTAAGAAGAACGTTTGTTGCGTTTCTTCAGTGTTTGGGGCATCGCTTGCAGAAGTAAGTTGTATCGTTAGTTCTCTTCGTTTTATCTGTTTAACTGAACTTTTTTGTACGTTTAGCGCAAGTATTCTCTAAACCAAACGGACTACGGCTGAAGATTGTTGTTAGAGGACAGCGTTCCAGTTAATTTCTTCGGTTTGTAATCGCTCTTTGTGAGTTTGTCCTTGTCGTCGTTTGAGGCAGGGGTAGAAGAAACTGTCGTAGAGCACGAACATCGAAAGAGATAACTTGAAGTTTCAATTTATATGAAACGAACGTTTGAACGGTGGCACGATTAGTACCAATCTTTGTGCGTCGTCTAAATTTTTGTTTACTCGTTTTGTCTCGTGCGACTTAGCATGCACAGTCGGCCTCGACATGGAAAGCACTCAATATGTACGGACAAAGAACTCTGGTCCTTACTGACGACATCTTTGGAGAAGAAGAAAGCCAACAAGCGGAAAAGGGATCCGGATATGCTGCGAAACGCCGTGTTGGAACTTACGGTTCAAAGATTGAACGAGGAGATAACGGAGAGATGTATGAGGAAAGTCAAGCGTCGGAAACAAAACGAAACGTACGAATGGCATGGCTCTCCAAATGGATTTGGGTGGAATATGACGGCGTCTTATCAAGATGACGAAGATCTTTTAGGTATCGACGACTTCTTTCAAAAACTAAGTACTAGTTGTGAAAGTCGGAAAAATGCTCCTGTGATTTCAGATCATTGAGGTCGCCACTGTTGAGAAGAGTTCGGGATGAAAGTAACCAGAGAGTTGAATGTTGACTAGGTTGTTTCAATTTAGACTTTTTTACTGATATTTCCATAGTTAGGAAGAGCATTATCAAACTTTCAAGAATTTTTTTCAATGTTTGACAGTTTGTTAAAATTTTGTACAATGGGAAACTCGTTAAATTGTAAATATTATTTATTTGATATTTTTGTAAATAAAAGAGGAATTTTTTCAAATTAAACTAAATTTACTACTTGAATATGATTTAATTTTGTGTTGATTGTTTTCACAGCAACAAGTTAAGTTTCCTCAGCTGACAAGCCAGCTGTGGCATCCTTGACTCGCTCTTGTAAACACATCAAAATCTTCTAGAAGGTATTGGTTATGAATGATAATGGCTAATATTAATAGTGAAGACTTAATCATGTGAAGGTCAACTCTAAGAGGAATAAGGTCTTGTAAAATGTTCTGCAACCCAGTTTCCATACGGGTGACTCTGAAGAATTTTTAAATTTCAACCTTGTAAATCTCATTGTGGAAGAAGCTAAACATCGATAGATTAAACTTGGATAACAGATAACAAAGATTTTGATTTAGTCATTTCTTTTGAAGCCTGCCTTTGAGGTGAAGATGAAAGCATCTGCTGTCATCCACAGATGGAAATGCAAAGACTGACAATGGTGGATGAAGAGATCTGATGTCACTTGGTAAATGCCAAGCATTTGCCTCTCTTTTTAAGCATTAACATGTTCAGTTGACAACCCACAACTGTTGCTATGTGCTTAAGTGCAGTCTTAAGAAGTCTTTTTTACTGACTTTTATTAGTTTGTTGTGGAACCACATCATAAAGAGCATTCCTTGGTGGAAGAAGTCCTGCAGAGACAGTTAAAAAGCCATTTCAAGGCTTGTATTATCCTGAGTATATAGTATTGTAAGCTTGATGTGAAGTAAATATTTCTGGGTTGTAGGGCCAAAATAATATGTGTAGATACTCAGCCCATGTTTCAACATTCGACACTGCTGCATATATCTGTAGTTTTACTAATTACATAGTTTAAGGTTTGTGCAACATTTGTTCCTTTGATTTAATTTAAAGAGGGTATAGTGGAAGCAGAAATCAAGCTCTTGGCTTCAAGTGGGGAAAGGCAGGAAAATCACTTTCGTAGAAGACTTGCGTCTTGGTTTCCAACATAATTTTTGGTCTTCATTTATCAATTTGCCTGTGAGAAGTCATCATACAACATAATTTTAGGCAAAGGATGCGATGTCTTAGTGGAACTGTTTTATGGGCATAGATGTAGGAGTTAGATGAATATTCTCAAGAACTAAAAAAGTAACTCGTGGGATGTCTTTGATCACTCATTCTGTATACTCCGTGGTTAGCACAGTTAATGGGGGTGTGGACCATGTGTAACTCAATGTATGGGTAGGGTTTTTTTTTTTTTCTCTACTGTTATGCAGTTAAAGTCATTGTGGAAACAGTGGTGGAGGGATCTTTCTGGGAGGATCTTGAGGAAAAAAGAAAAGCCAATTGTCTTCGCAGGAAGACTGAATTCAAGCAATGTGGTGTAAAGTTGCAGTAAGAAGTGTTCCACTTAGAGTAACTCAATATTGTAGTTCAATGAGTTTGGGTTATGTTTGGTGTGCTCCAAGTTGTAGAGTTACAGAAATTGAATCATGGACCCATCCATCTCAAATCCTCCAAGTGATAATAAAGTTCCAGGATTGCACAAGCCATCCAATTTCTGGTTTGATAGTTTTGTTCCTTGGTATGAGCACCTTAGTGCAAAGCCCTGAATAGAAGAAGTCAACTCCAGCTCTTTCTACCCAAGACTTCTTGATTGCTATCGTCATTCCAGTTCATTCATCATCCTAAAGATTGCCACCCAAAGATTTTTGCCGTACTGGGATTTTGAAACATCACATCCCGCTTGACTATTATAAGAAATTGGTTTTGGTTCCCCAAAGTATGCATTGTTCTAAAGCATTTGCAGTTCATTATGCAAGGAGGCAGATTTCAGTCAAAGACTTTAACTGGATGCGTAATGATAAGCTAATTTCATCATTTTGCTAAGGTAAATTTGTGTTTGTTTACAAATCTGTTAGCATGTATATTTGCTACAATTTTGGGTAAAGTCAGTTTGTTGTGTATAGGATATGCGTGTTACTTTTGCCATCTTGCAGCATGAGCATTTTATTAATCCAGCCTTCAAAAGACCTTTCCTGTTGCCACCAGGGCAGATGTTATAGAGACAATAAAAGCAGAGCTTCTGAAACAGTCATCCATACAGATGCTTGCATCTTCTTGAGGCACTAAATTGAATTGTGTAGAGCCAGCAAACCATTTTGCCTGTTAACTTGACAATGAGGTAACAGCTCTTGCTATATATGTGTGAAAGTACATGCATGATCTGAAGCCTTTTTCAGAAGGGTCGTTTGGATTGGGAAAATTTTCAGTTCAAGAATCATAAAGCTGAAGGATGTACACAGTCTGATGTACTTACCAAAAGTTGATGATTCAATGTGGAGAAAGTTACTTAACTTCAAGAAAGATTTATCTATGGTCGGGTTTTGCCTAAACCAAAGAATCCAAGCGATAGCACCCCAAAATTTTGGGCAAGTTCTACTTACAGCCATACCACCAACAAGATACCCGTAAGTTGTTAAATGTTGAAGTGGTACTCTCCCTTGCTCACTGTTATATTCTGGTAATCTCAAAGAATAGCCAGGAAAGTTCCAACTTAGTGCTATTTGTGTTTAATGCAAACTCTGGTTGGGAAATTTACTCAATGCTCTGAAACATTTACTTGGCAGTGCAGCTCAAGCAAGTTTTCCAACTTCTGTAGTTGAGTTTGCAGGAAAAATTCCACACATTCTTTATGTTCAAAATGTAACGTTTGGCTACCAGTTCAAAGAATGTCAAGGAGCCTATTTTCTAGGTTAAGTTTTGCATTTGTTGTCGACAGTGTGCATGCTTTTAAGCTTTGGTTTTCAGTTCGCAAGAAAAGGAGTCAGGCAAGTCCAATCGGAATGGTAAATTTAAATTGTGATTGGTTCTTCAAGCTTGTAAAGAATTCTTCTTTGGAATGTGCGTGCTACTTTTGCCATCTTGCAGCATGAACAAGCGATAGTCCAGGATGTAGGGCTGACCACAAAGTTTCTCTCTCTGTTGCATCATCTTAGCAGATCAACTGAGTTTTTGTGGATTTTTAATGCTGAACTTCTGAAAAAGTCATCCATGCCTGTATTTTCTTCCCAAGAGATCTTCTATTGGGTAATTTGTGCAAGGTGAACATACTGTCTGTGCTGTCTTTTAGACAAGGTATCAATGTCTATTTATTATGATGCGAGACTGTGAACAAATTGAGTCATTTGGGAGAAATTTAGATTAATAATCGTGATGTGATGTTCCAAACCAGTTCTGGCCCCAAGCTTCAAAGCAAGCCATTCTTTAAGAGACAGTGTGCTAAAAAGAACTCATTTATCCTGGGGATTTCAACCTACTTGAGCCCATAATTATTATCCACCCACACCATTTTGCTGAGTTGGGAATAGCAGTCATGAATATGCTTCTCCATCTGTAAAGCCTAGAGCTAGTGTTGTCACCTTGAAGTTAGTGAGGCCAGTGGAGCTCTTGTAAGAAAATATACATCCTTGATAAATTTGCGATTCATGTGTGTAGGAAAGTGTGTATGTGCAAAGCACTTTCTTCTAGGATTCATCACATAGAAACGGGAAAATCACTGGTGAGGTTACTGATCTCCATTTAAGATTTCCAAATGGTCATACCCCAAGCCACTTGTTACCAAAATGTTCAGTGAAGTCCTCTGCATACAGAAGTATTGAGCCAAGTTGAAGTATCAAGTAACACCAAAAGGGGTGCAATAAGAGTCCATAGATAGCAGGCCTTAAAGGAAACCATAACCTCATGTGACCAAGCAGTACCAGTTTCGTCCTCATTGTCTCGACTTCAATTTGTGGTATTTTCTGGTAGAAATTTCTTCACCAGTATCCTCCCCACCCATCTTCCTGGGGTATTTGTACCAAAAGCCAAATTTGAACAGTCCTGTTCTTCATGCACCACTATGAAAGAAAGTTGTTGCAAAATTCAAGACTTTAATTCTGTGTACTCAAGAGGTAAAGTTGGGTTAATTTGTATACAAACCAATGCCGCATCCTTTGACTTCATCAATGCTATTTTATTTCTTTCCAAGATATTCTTGGTAGTTTTGTTTTTTGTGTGGAAAATGTGCTTTGAAGCAATTTTTCAGGTTGATAAAACTAACTCCAGCCAGCCAATTTCAGCATAGCATGGTAAATTCCAATATTGCAAAGGTCATCATCCTGTGGGCTGATTCTGTGTTTGTAGACTCCGTGATTCAAACCATTTCGATAACCTTGGGCGTACAAAGACCACTCTGGGTTAGCCAAAAAGATCTTGCCGTTTGCAATGGTCCAGTATGTCATACCGTCTCAGGACAGGGGCTGTTTTGTGTTTGGCCTGAATTCTGTAAAGAATGGAAAGAAGACAGTCTCGGAAGTTCCATATTCAAAATTGTCGTGATGGCTTTGTTGCCCAAAGTGCAAGTGTTAAAACCTTTCCAGTTTGTGTAGCAAGGGAGGCAGTGCAATGCAAAGGAAAAAAGAACTGCAGGGATGCTTGACGCCACTATCATTGTCTTCTGTTATGGTAATTTGTGACCACTTTTATTCAAAATTTTAATTTCATTAAGCTTCTGTCATGGTATTATATGGGATGAAAGTCAATATTATGTACCACCATGGTGGTTCCATAGTGTGTGTGTTTGTAGATAAAGTTCATATTTTTCAGGCCAGTGTACATGGTTGCAACCGTATCAAGAGGTCAAAGTTGGCTTCCTTCCTACCCCCTTCCCACCCTAAACAGTTTTGCTGAATGTAACAGTAATGCTTTCAAGTTCTAACACCAACCAGTGCAAGTAGGAAATCTATTCAGTGATTAAAGGTTTATTCTGTTC